ATTTATTATGCATGTTTTTGAAGAAAAAGAGAAACTACAAATCGTAAATGTACCCCAGGATCCCCCGAGGGCCTTATTGAACAGAATTATGAGGTCTGATGATCAATTATCCAAAGAAACAAGTGGACTTACATTATTAATCGTGATTCCTACGAGTTATATAAGCTGCCAAAACCAGAATTAAACACCAAATACATGCGCTTAAAAAAAATACAACACACATTTTAAATATTTAGAAGTCTTCCATTATCTTTAATGTCAAAACGTACCAATAACTGGACCCTGAGGGACACTATGTGCTGTTAGCAAGGAGGAAATGGTTCATATATAGAGTCATTATTCAGGATTTTAGTGATATGAACACAAAAGAAGGAAATAGTGTCCATCAGTAACTGTCTTTATGGCTCATAAAACACACCTTTAACTGAGGCAGCACCTGGATTCTTTCTTATACGATGGAATTAACTAAGAAATGTTAAAAAATATTCTAATTTAAAACAAAATTTGATTTCGTAAGCCTTGATACGGATTTCAAAGGTTTAAACCATAAGAATATGTGGGGCACCACCCCAGAAACCAGCTAAAGATACATCCAGGGTCATTTTTCTGAATTTAACATCCATTTTGAGTGAAGGAAACAGGTTTTATTTATAAATTAAACCTGTAATTTTACACAGGATCAGCGAACTGTGGAAATCGGATCTGTAAATTTCTTGTAGAGACTCCGGCGATAAAAAAGAGTCGAATGGATTTGAATGCATTTGCTCACGAACATCTGCACAATCTGCTCAATTTCCTGCCTATTTCGCTCTTTCAAAGCCAGTTTTCCATGTCAGGGTTTGTCTTTTTTATAGTGGCGATTAGTCATTTGATCCTCGGAAATTGGACGACATATCGAATATGAACCAAAGCAAAAGGAAACCTTCTTTTTTTTTTCAAAATGTGGCCTTGAGAAGCTAGGAGAAACACAAAGAAACAGGACGGATCTGGGATCTCCTGATCTGTCCACGTGAGCGTGAACATTGACTTAATTCGACTCCGTTTCGGAGACAGGAAGTGGAGGATCCCGGCCCTGAATGGGGACCAATGGAGCCCCGAATAGACCTAAGACCCTCCATTCCCCCTCTGGATTATTGGCTTTGGTTGGTTTTGGGGGGGTTTGGTTTTTCCCGTTTCTTCCCAGACCGGTGCAGCACTTTTCCGCCCTTTCTTCCTGCTCACTTGCACGGAGCAAATGACCAGCGAGAAACTCAATTAGCAACATGTTCCTCACCGCTGGAAACCCGAAAAGCAACCAGGAGAAAGGGATAAACCAAGTGCTTCTCAATTATTTTCTGTTACGCGCCCCCTAGCAAGAAGAAAACTATTCGCGCCCCCCCCCCCACCGAGACTATCCATCTCTGCATAACATTTTATCCTTATTAACATTAAAGAGAAGGAAAAAAGAAAGACATATGGTCAAACTTACAAAGAATAACTTTATTAAATCGTGTTTTAAGTGAATGGATCTTTATTGTCATTGTCACAAGAAACAACGAAATGTTAAAAAAAAAAGGGCCATCAATCAGTGCCTATGCCCACAATTTACACACAATATAAGAAATAAATAACATTTTTGGTTGCATTTAGTTTTGTTATTGCTGTCGGGTAAAAAATCTGCAACAGAAAAGATTTTAAGTGCATCGATGCCTGAAATTAAAAATAAATAAACCCTTGTTTAAATTGTAAACATGTTTGACCAACGAATTGCACCATTGCAAAATTAAATCAAATCAATAAATAATATCTAATAATTATAATAACAAATAAACTACAAAAACAACAAAAATAATAACTAATTTTGTTCAGTTAAGCAACATTAACTCAGGAGCACAATATATAAAACAGTTAGCTTTCGGGTGACTATTTTTTGTCTCGTTATCTTTGTCTCCCTACGCTTTTATTTTCATAAAAACTTTTCCATGTTGGGGGTTGTTATGTTCAATAACGGAGGCTACAGACAGAACACAGATGCTAACCGAGGCTAACCTGTTGTCTTTAAGTCGTAAAATGTTGCACTGAAGTAACGATGAGAGCACCACTGCCCCCTACTGGAGTGGATGTGCAATTACACTTTATGCTAGTCCCGCCCACATGAGGGACCTACATATTTTTTTCACGATAAAAAAAACTTTTTTTTCGATATTAAATTGACAACACACCACCGCAACCGATTTTTTTATGCTAAATTGTACCTCCACCTCATGACCGGAACTGTTTTACGCAACCGATATATATATATATATATATATTAACGATAAAAAAACATTTTTTTCTATGCTAAATTTTACCTCCGCCTCACCACCGGAACTGTTTTACGCAACCGATATATATATACATACATATATATTAACGATAAGAAAAAATATTTTTTTCGATGCTAAATTGTCCCTCCGCCTCATGACCGGAACTGTTGTACATATATATATATATATATATATATTAACGATTTAAAAAAATATTTTTTTTCAATGCTTAATTACTAAATTGACAACACACCACCGCAACCGATATATATATATATATATTAACGATTAAAAAAAACATTTTTTTCGATGCTAAATTACTAAATTGACAACACACCACCGCAACCGATATATTAATATATATATTTTTTTTTAACGACAAAAGGGTCACACGCGCCCCCCCCAGGCATCGCACTATTTGAGAAGCACTGGGCTAAACCAAGTGTGGGCTGTAGGGGGTCAAAAACTTCCTCCTCCTGATAATTATTTATATAGTTATATATATATATTCTATATATATGTATATTATATTACAATAATTTCTAATGAATATAAGTGTCAGATGGTGTGGATTTTCCTGATGAATTAATAATGAAGATAATGAAGATTTCTATAATAATAATTTTTTATATATAT